TCTATCATTTATCGTTCAAAATACATCTTTTACATATTTTTACTTCTATTCCATCCAATATTTGTTGTTAATAAAATATAGTGGAGATGAACAGAGACATTAATAATCATGGCCACAAGAGCCATATTGGCTTTAGTGACTTATGTTGCAAGAGCAAGAGTGATCTAACTGCTGTCTATTAACATTGCTTGTATGCCACATGACTTTCACAGCCTTAATCATAAGTTATCTTTACCATAATATGAAACTTTCTCGAAAAAAATGAAATGAATATTTATATAACAAAATGAAAGTTAAAAAATGTACTCTTAATAAAAGAAAAGTCTTTATTTATTTCTTCAATTTAAAACTTTTATGGTGTTTTCTATGACCCAGGTAGCTGTTTCCCTTTCCTCAAACGAAATTTTACAAGAAAGTGGATTCTGAGTGCCTTCATGATTGAAGTTTTGACAAGAACCAAATTTAGACACAAACTAATCATAATAAACTGATGATCAAATATTTGTTTGTCTCAATAAATAAATATTCACCATAAATTAATTCCTTTCACTCTTTTTTTTACCATTTGGTTATACAACTGTACTAGCAATTTGCAATAGAGTTGCATTTTCTGTTTCCTAATAACCAACGATAAGAAACAAACTTTTTGAAGCATTTATATCCAGCTACAAGTTTTCTGAGATTATTTCTGATACTTAAATATTTTTCATTTCAAGTATTACATTGAACCAGTAATATTCAATGAGTACACATCTTAATTAAGATGCATTTCACTTATAGATATTAAGAGGCAAGTAAAGGATTTGAAAAATTAAAAGATCTTTATAGCTTTCTTCTTGCCATGCACACTTTTCAAAGAAAAGAAAAGAAAGCTGAAATTTTGTAATTGAAAAAAACCGGTATGGATACAGCAATACTTCATCCTAGGGCAGTAGCAGATCCACTTTTTATTCATTAAGGCATTTTTTTGTAGCAATTCAACGGCGGTTCATCTCTCAGCAGCTTTCAGTCTGCAAGTCACCAGTTGCTTTTGAACACACAACACTAATACAGCAATGAAAATCAGTTGAATTTAATCACTGAAACTCAATTGTACAGTATTTCTTAACAATAAGATGATATGGAAAAAATAAAAATGGAAGCAAATATTTCAGTGCAGCACACACAAATCTCACAGAAACACCAAAAGTGTGTCAGAAAATAATTCAACTATCAAATAGAAACGTAACACTTCACTGATGTAGTAATGACATCCAACATTATTTCCATATTATGTGTTACTTCTGTTTTAAAGATAATTATCCAACAGAAAATCAATTTTTTCATTCTTACTGGTAATTTCAAAATCTACATAACTGCTTTTGTACTTTACCTTTTGAAAAGTTTAGTAGAAAAAAGTAGTTTTGCTATATCAAAGGACAAAAATGTCACGTTTCAATCACATTATCAGATACAAATAGAAAATATGAATAGCTGTAATAGATATAATAAAATTGTGAAAGAACAATACACTTAAAACAATGTGAAATGTCTCATTCATTTAGTCAAGATCCTGGGAAAAATAAAAAATCATATTGAAGTTTTACTTTCATGGCTGCGAAATCTCTCAACTCTTGCTCTTCAACCTAGTTTGCTTCTCTGCCTCTAGATACAGCAGTCCCTTTATTCAGAGCAAGAATATCCAGTGAATGAGGGCAATAGAATTCTCTGAATAAAGCAGTGTATTGCTGTGAAATGTATGAACTCTCTGCGACTGACCTACAAATACATCATTAAATCTTAATATCATTTTTGACAAGTTGTAACATTCTTCTTGAGAAATATTATGCAGTTCTAATATTTGTGCAGTCGACTCAGATTATAGTAAACTCGGATATAGTGAACCCTTGGATATAGTGAACTTAAGTCGCTGGCTCTGTTTCACTTGCATTACAAATAAGCCTAAGAATTTGAAATGAATATATCACAACAGGGCCAGAAATTAAAACACCAGGCATTTTGAAAAAAATATCATCAGAAAAAGGTCATAATTGAAGAACTCTCCCCTGAGGTGAAGGTAGTGGGTCTGGAAATGGGGACCTTTCTGATAACCTTATGCCACTCAGTTTCACTGCAGAAACAAAGGCCATGTCGTGCGTAGGCTGCAACTGGTGGTGGTCACCCACGATTGTTTGCTTCAGTTTCAAGCTTTATGTTACTTGAGATTCAGCAGGACAAAGCATGTGGTATTCTACTAGGTAACAGGAAGCGCGGGAGTGCCACAGCCCCACAGCCTGGCAACATCCTTCGTGTCTTGCGGAGAAGCTATCAGTTTCATTAGCCACTTGCACCATCCCACTACCATAACGATCTTGAATGTTATTAGGTGAGTAAAAGAGCATTGATAGTGGGTCAGTGTTCCAACAATGGAAGAGGCATTGATTGGCAGGGTGTCAAGACTGCATTATGATACTTAGAAACTGTGGATAATGCAGAATCAAGTATGGAGAGAGCACAAACTCTGGAGAAGGAACTAGAGAAATTACTAATTAAACATGTAATTGAAACAAGCAATTGAAATTATTTTTTTTAATTTTTTTTAGAACAAATAATGAGACTGAAATTTTCAGTTCATGCTGTTAATGTATTTTGTGCTACCTCTATATTAATAAATTCAATCATTGTGGAGAAATTCTATTTAATTTTGACATCATTGGATATAGTGAAGATAGTGATAGTCAACCAAAAACGTTAGTCCCAAGAAGTTCACTACAACCAGAGTCGACTGTATATGCATTTTCTGTGGCTCTAATACAAGAGAATTTACATTCACAGATTTTATTTGGCCTATAAATTTTCCTCCTTTTCAGTTGTGTTTTTCTCACTTATGCATTTATCCTGCTTTAGGATTCAGAAAAGTGGATAAATAAAGTCTTGCTGTATTAGTTTTTATCTACATCAGGGATATTTTTGAGACTTAAGTCATCAATCTGACTTATAGATTTATGTTACAATGTTTGAATACGGCTACTTCATAAATTAGATGGTTAATCATCACATTATCCAAAATTCATTAGTTAGCAAGGTGATGTTCCAAATAATAATAATAATAATAACATTTATAATAATAATAATAATTATAATAATACTTCTTATTGAGTCAAGTCACATATACAATTTCAATCATGTATGACGAGTCAGATACAGTATGCACATGCCTCAGTGAACTCCACATTCAATTATAGCCATTCTTATAGCTCTGACAAAACCATCTGGCTAATGTATAATTTAAACAAATAATTCAAAAATTAGCCATATTTTGGACTTAAGTCCTGGAAAGTTTACTCTTGTCTGCTGCAACTAGTGAGCATTGGCACCATCGTCAGGATAGGTAGAAAGCTGTGGCCAGTACAGGAGATGCAACACAAACATTATCCTAGTGTTACCTCTATTATTTAATCCGGTCAATGAGAGAACCATGTATGTTAATTCCAAATTAACAGCACCGGGTCCAACTGTTCATAACTACTTTTACATGCACAGTAGAACCTCAATGCATCATTCTTATATTTTTAATTTAACAAAATCAATTTCATTTGGATGGGAATTTTCCATACATTATGCATACTTATTTTTTATGGAATATAAAGAAATCATAAATTGAAGGGCTTTGTAGCAATAACAAGATACCCCAGTCATAGCAAGCCTCATGCATTTTGTAAATGTTAATATCTCGATTTTGGAGGAGTATGGCACTATATTGTATATCACTGACAGCTCAACAAATGAAGTATGTGAAGTGCCACTTTACCTATAAACAGCCATGTAAATGTGTAGACTGAAGGAGCTTACAAGTAACAACCACTTTCAAAATCTCTATGTCTAGCATTCCTCCCTTTCTCCATCGTTGATTCTCTTACATTTGTGTATTGCCAGCCCAGCAGCAAGCATTCTATGCAAGCAAGTCCTTGTGTACCTCGTTCCTGCCCAAGGGGAAGCAAAGAAAAACAATTTTAGGGTCAGTGTCAAATATCTTCACTTGCTTGCATCATTGCTTAGAGCTCTAAACGAGATCACCTGAGAGTTGCAACAGCAACCATGAAATCTCCAAATCTTCCAAAAATAAATTCAAGTCTTAATATTCTTAATGCTTGTTTGGGTTTATAGTTCATAGTCTCAATTTTTAAGGTGAGAGATCCACTGGTAGTGATCAAAATGTGACACAGAGACTATTCATAATAAATGTACAAATATTTAACAGTACACTCTGACTTTGACTCACTCAGTGCTAAAAATAAAAGCATATAAGAATCGCAAATAATTAAAAATGGTTGAAGATTTGGGTTGGGTTTAGCACTTCACTGAATTCAGCCCCTGAAATGCCACTGCTAGGTCTCATTCACATTTAAGAAGGGTTTGAGGCAGAAATACTTCAACAAAAATCAAGATATTAGCATTTATGAATATTGAGGAGACTTGGTGTGGGTGTTATGATTGTCCCTGGACCTTAAATTAAATTCTACAACAATAAAAGATAGTAGTTTGACGACTGAATGTGTATAGTGAGGTTAGGATGAAATGAAAATGAAAACTAATGGAGCTAAAATCAATGTATCGAACTATGCATAAACAATGGCGTTGTTAGTCGTTTAACCTCAACACAAGTAAAGCAATTTGGAACCCAATTTTCATCTATGATGATCTGACAAAGAACCACTTCTACAATCACTAAATAATTCTTCTAAACATTCAGTAAATTAAAGCATTTGTCATTATTACGTTTCATAATGACAAGCATAATTTTCCTACATTCCCAGACCTCTTAACACAATTCATCCAGTCTTCACTGATTTTTAACTTGAATAAAAATGTATGAAAAACTGAAAACCTCCCATTTTGATGATTTGTTTCCTAAAAGCAGTCCTTTTGCTTATCAAGGCTTAAAGAAATTTACATTTGAGGCTCTGGTCCAAACTGAAGTAAACAGTACAGAAATATAGGTGTTGTGGTGTGTTATCGTTGGCATTTTTCATGAAATAATTATAGACGTTGTCATTGCCAACGTTGGCAATGACGTCTATAATTATTTCAGTACAGAAATAACAAACTATCTTATTAACATAATGTTCTAAATAACGAACAAGATGGTAGCCCTGTCATTGACCTATTGTGTGTGTTCCTTTCTACGTAATGAACTTTGACATTCTAATTAGCAGACATCCCAGATTAGCGGAATAAAAATACTCTTATAGTATTTTGTTTGCTTGCACAAGAAATATGAGAGACTTCGTAAAATTTCATTCCTTACACAACCACAACAATTACAACAAATTACAAGTGCCACACAAACATGTTAAAAAATTAAGTGCCAAATGCACATATTAAAACTGCATCATTAGCAATGTTTTTCTAAAAACAACACTCGAAAGCCCACTTTAAGAGCACATTAAATTTCTAATGTTCATTCCTGGATTGATGCCTGGACATGTGATCTCATATTGAATTGAAGGTTGTGAGGTTCAGAGCACTAAAGCATGTTTTTCTACACACTTGTAAGATCTCATTGCTTTAAGAAAACATCACTTTTATGTAAGTTTGTTATCACTTGAGTTCTCATCCCCAAGTATTCCAGAGGCATCTCACAAGGCCCAGTGCAGAAGGAATCATTGCTTTCTACAATCAAATTGGCTAATTAATTCCTTGAAATTTACGATCTTAATAAATATACAATATTATTTCACATAAATTATGAAAAGTTAAGAAATTTCTTCATGCTAAATTAGTAACTTAACAATGACAGTTTTCAGATGAGGAGTGTGCAAATTGGTCTATGTACTGAAAGAGCTGACACTGCTAAGTTAGATTCATTTTACTTGCATGTTGTAGAGCTTATTACATTCTAAATTTTGGAAATGTGAAGAGTAACATGCACAAAACTTTCCCTGATATCATTACCCTGACCTCAAAACTACAACAACAGAGGTTACCAACTTCATCTTTGCATAATTAACAAAATGTCACATTTTTTAATTCCAAATATTTCTAATTAACCAGATTGTGTGTTATCAACAAAAAGGCATTCATGAGTAAATTTAAGATTACTGATAAAACAATCAGAAAAAAGGATAGAGCCTCAGAAACACAAAAGAAAGGAACCCTTCGCTCACTACTTTTACATATCCTCCTTAGGCAGCCATGTTAAAAATTTCCAAATGGAAATAACTCATCCAAAGGAACTACATCCACCTCAAGAAATGAGTTTCATCTTATTAGAAGCTAACACACATAAAAGCTAGGTATTTCATGTTCATCATGAAAGCTTAGCTTCAGCAAAAGACATATAAAACTTTGGCAAACTGGAAGACCAATTGGCACACCTCTGATCTACCTCAGCAATGCACTTCAACAAGTCAATTCCACAACACAAGATGGTTCATGTGGTATGTTTCTTTCGATGTGACATCATTGTTGATCGGGAAACAAATGCCTTACTGCAAATATCACACACATAAGGGCGTTCTCCTGTGTGGAGGCGTTTGTGTATTGTCAATGGTGAAAATTGAGTAAAACTTTGCCCACATACATCACAAGAATATGGGCGTTCACCGGTATGAGAGCGGCGATGACACCGCAAAGCATCGCGACGTGCAAATGCCTTCCCACACCATTCACATACAAAACTTTTCTCTCCTGTATGCATAGTGGAATGGATACGAAGATCCACTCGGGTAAGAAATCCTTTGCCACATACCTATAAAACAAAAGAAAAAATTGATAGTGTTTGACCTCCTGATTGAAGAATATAGAGTACAACAATAAACATTTTTCACAGATTTAAAGCTCTTGTAAAGACGGGCGTTTCCTGTCCAAGCACTATTGAACATAATGATTATTACTTTCTCGTTTCACAGAGTATGGAGAGTCATGTAATGTTGCAAAACACTGATGTCGATATTTTAATAGCAAAACAATTTTCACAGCAAGCAAAATGAGATTTTTAAAATTGACATTCCCTGAACAATTTGACTGAACTCACAGCCCTGGCTATTTGAATAATTTTATGCATGAAACTGCTAGGAATTTTTAAATTTTTTTCAAGAACGACTCTAATTTTTTAACAAAATAGAGCATGATTTTCATTGGGCCACTCCTTCAATTGCATTATTTAAAATATATTTTTTGTTTAATTAAATCTATTCTTTAAAATTAGATCTTTACACCATTTGAAGTATTTTTACTTTCTCATATAAGTATCTATATATGGAGTAATATACATAGTGTAGAGAAACTTATGTAATGCTGCAGAAAATCAATTTCACAATTTTAATAGAAAATGCATGTTTTGATTGATTTTGCTTGATTCAGAAAAAGGAGGTTTCTTCATAACGTACATCCGTTCGTCTGTGAACAACACTAGCATCTAAACTATTCATACGATTTTTTTCCAAAGTGGATATTCCTTGGCCGATCTTGCTCGACTTGAAGCTCTATGATTTTAAATAACTTTCTTAAATTTTGTGGGCACTTTCCATGAAGATTCTGGGACGATTTTAAAATTTTTTCAAATATAGAGCCCCCCCCCCCTTTTTTTTTCTTTCCCTTCTTCATTTCTTGTGAATAGAGTAAAATACACTAGTAAATATGGCGCAAGTCTGATTTTCACCATTAACTGTGAATTTTCGAAAATTGTGAACTTTCCACATTTTATTGGCATCTTCCTACTATTACAAACTTTAAGATAGAACTTTTGCCTTCAAATGAAAATTTTTCTCCACAATTAGATCTTTCATTAATATCATGTACATTTTATTGAAAATTTTAGTCGTTTTCACATAACAAAACAAAACAAAAACAAGAATTTTTTAAAAAGATCTCCAAATTATCTGTTAACTTTTAGTAGGAATAGTGCTATATGTACTGAATAGGATGCCTTAAATGCTATTTAGCTCTGTTCTTTTGTTTTTCAAAAATTACAGAAATGCAATTTTTTTAATACATCTTTCACGTTGTTAATATTTACATGAGCAGCAATTAGTTTACGTTATTGCAGTTTTGGTATAAACTTTTCTTTGTAAGGACAGATCTCAATGCACGGAAATCTAAGGTACAAGTGCCATTTTCATGAAAACCTTGGAATTTTTCAAAAATTTAAAGATTAGTTGTGTGTGTGTTTTTTATTACTTATACATAAATGCACTACATATGGTGAAGAGTATTTCAAGAGATAACTGAAGAAGTAGTGGGATACAGGTTGCAATATTGTAACATTGGGTAACAAAAATATGAACTATATTTATGATATTTTACTGTGATTATGTATTACACATGCATTGATCTTTATAAAATTAACTGTCCCTAAATAAAATTATACAAACAAGATAATAGTTGATTTATAATACCACCTTGGGTAATTTTGTGCCTAATTTTAATTCATCATTACAACAATCAGTTAGGAATGCTAGTACTAACCCATGATAACACAAACGGACAAAATAATGTTCACAATATGAAAAAATGTTTTTGCAAATAAGTACCAGAAATAATTATGTGTACATTGAATATTCAGAGTCTGGTAGACAATACATCAATACAGATGCTAGATCTTTAAATTTTTTGACAATGCAAGCCAAGCCAAGTCAGAAGATATGTCAGGAAAGCCATTATCAATTGCCATCCCCCTCCCCAATTTGAAATTGTTAACTCGAAAAAAAAGGTTGTGCATGTACTTTCTTGAATTAATTGTAACTGTTATTATGACATAACAGTGCAATTTCTATCCTATTAAATCTTCATTCTTTTCTCAAAAACCTCTGAACCGAACATGAGAAAAATTAGAAAAAAATGTATATTTTTATTTTTGCAAATTCAAGTTTGAATAAAAATGGCACTTCTGCACATTATACTCAATGTATTTTTAACCCTTTATTTATAAATGTTCAAAAATAAGGAAAAAATATTTTGCACTGGCCAAGATACAAACCAAAGAGCTTAAATTGACAGTAGCAGTTATTGATTGAAATGCCAAAACAGCCCTTACAATGTATTGTCCAATATGTCTATATACATATAGATATATCTGTTTCTGAATTCACAAGTAAATCACAATAGAATAGAATCAACTTTATAACTCTAAAATTAAGAACCAGAAAGGTGGCACTCACTGGGCATGAAAAAGGTCATAGAGAGAGCTCCCCATGTTTCTATCACAGCACCATACCTCATGTTTCACAGAAATTATATTGTGGTTTATACTGTGATTTTAAATCTTAATGCTCTTTAACAGCAGTGTATTTTCAAAGAAGCCCTGCTCACATGCAACACTCACCACAATGGTCACTTGGATTGATGGATGGAATGGGCTGGATGGATGAAATGTTAGCAGTTTGTACTGTACTGTTCAAAATTCTTTTACACAAATATTAGAGTGCATTTTATCAAAATTTTCGAGAACATTATTAAACTAATTCACACTCCAAATGTAAACATTTGAAATTTAAAGAGATGTTTTGGAAGTTGAATAGTTGGAATGTGTTGCATAATTTCGAAAATATTTTGTTAAAAATACTCAAATACCATACTTACAAATACAAATTGTTTGTTTTTTAATGACTTTTGAACATTTGGAGAAAATGTTAATTTTAAGGTATATTTTATAAAGTAATTCATTCAACTTTCGATTACATCTGATAAAGCATATAACATAACTTACCTCGCACATGAATGGTTTCTCTCCAGTATGGATACGGAGATGAGTTGACAGATAAGACTTGCTGACAAATAATTTATTGCACACAGTACAAGGATACTGTTTATTATCAGTGCCTGAATGCACTCGTTGGTGAGATTTACACAGTCCTTTTGTAATAAATCGACGGCCACATGTTTCACAAAGATATGGCTTTATACCCAAATGTCGATTGTGATGATCTAACAATGCTTGTTTGGTCTTAAAATTTCTTCCACAAGTTGTACATGGGTAAGGTTTAACATCACTGTGCACTCGCTGGTGAACTATCAAGTAACTCTTGCTCTGGAATCCTTTTCCGCATGTGTTGCAGGTGTAATCGAACTGTCCAGTGTGCTTGGCTTCATGCTGACCAAGACCAATTTTTGATCTGTAGAGTTTAAAATTTCTCATAATTTCTCACCTTCTAACTAGAAACATTCTTTTTGGTTAAGGAAAAAATGAAAGGAAAGAATAAACTGGTCCCTCGTTTGTTGGGAGTTACAAAAGATTCGGTATGTGCAATTTGTATGTATTAGCATATTGTATAAACAACTTTCTAACAAAATCTTTCATTGAAAATAATTAAAATTTCTCACCTTCTAACTAGGTACTTAAGACATTCAACTCATTTTCGTATTAAAGAAGACATTTTTAGATTTTGTTGGATCTTATAATAATACTGTTTTAATTTTTGTCAATTCCACAGTGGGATATTGTTGTAAAAAGATGTACGAGGATATACATGGGGAGAAGATAAGCAACTTGTGTAATTAATGACAATCGGATGGAGATTGAAAAGTGGAAAGAATCGCGGAAACATGGAAGAAGTGAATTCTATTTCAAATGTACACTCTGTGAGACTTGGGTAACATATAATAGATAAGCCAGGCATTAGGAAACACCTTTTATGATTCTAAATAGTAACAATTGTTTCAATGTTCAACAAATTCATAACTTTTGTAATTTCTTACTTGTAACAATCCTAACTACTCTTCAAAACCTATTAGAATCCACATCAATAGTGCCACAAAATAGATTAATTTCTTCCTTATCACCCTGAACATTGAGGTTTAACAGGACAAATTGAGAAGTCTATGAAGTTCAAGATATAGTTTGTTTGAAGGTATTTACTTTGAAGTAAATACCTTCAGATGTACATAAGAATTTTTTTGGAGAATTTAAAAAAATTTAAAGACATCTCATTTAGGAGGATATTTCATGATTTATTAAGAACAGTCGAGTTATTTTTCTTTACAGATTTATTAACATAAGTCTGTCTGTTAATAAATCCTGGACCATCCTCTTCAATTGAAATGAAATAAAGACAGTCTACGAAATTAACAGGAATATTTCTCACAGCAATAATTCTCAGAGGAATAATACTTTTCAAAAGTAATAGCATTATTATATTGCAATTCGCCCCACTTTCGAGTATGTTTAATCTTGTGTATTATAAGGAAAACAACCATCCAACTGGAGGTGACCTCATCAATTTTTCCAGAACCAGAACATTTGATTTTGTATTATGGGCCAGACTTCAAATATTACAACAAATTTTCCGAGAAAGAACTTTTTTTTTTAATTTTAAAGCAGCGCTAGAAAGCTGATTCAGTGTATTTCGGAGTAGACCAGTTCCACACCTTTAATGTACACACAATTAATTGAAAAACAAAATTATTAAAGAATAATATTTGAAATGATGACATAACACTCAAAATTTGTAAAATAATTTTTCATATATTTTTTATTAATCAAAATTGTAATAAAGCACATACCTGAAAGCTTTGGGGCACATAGAACACTGAAAAGGTTTCTCGCCAGTATGTTTTCGCATATGTTCGGCAAGCTTGTAGTTTGTACGATACTGTTTCCCACATTCTGTACAAACTTTTGGTTCCCATTTCTTCCTTCGAGATGCAGGCTTATTTTCTGAAGAAGTAGCAATTGGTGGATCAGTAGAAGATGTAGCAGCAAGAGTGGAAGTATCAGCAGTAGGAGTCAAAGTAACAACAGATATTGTGGCAGGAGCAACAGCAGAGGTAGTGGGAGCAGATGCAGAGGCAGATTTCTGCTCTCCTTTTACAGCATGAACTTCAGTACAGTGTGACAATAAAGCATTTTCTGTTGCAAAAAGGGCTCCACATGTACTGCACCTGCTGTAATGCGTTTCATAATGAACCTGAAAGTCTTCATTTTTTGTAAACGATTTCCCACATATATTACAAAATAGCCAAGAATTGGAATTCTCTTGAGCTTCCAAAGGTTGTGGACATGACAACATCAATAGACTATTGGCTGCTGGATTCATGAAATTGTTGGAGCCTTCTTGCAAAACTAGAGGTTCCTTATTTTCATTACTGGAAAACAGAAATATTTAAATAAAATAAATTACAATTTGAAATGTATGTACTTTTCTAGTAGTAGTAGTAGTAGAAGCAATTGTAAGCGATTGTTTGTTAATAATTTTGCAAAGGTAAAATCAAAATTATTTACACACAACACTGAAATGCACACGCTTTTTCACAGAAGTCAACAAAATATTTAATGAAATATGAAGTCAACAAATTTTTAATTTAGTAAATACTTACATACCCCACATTCTTTAAGGATAATCTAATAGCATTTCAACTTCTAGAGCATGCAAACCCAATTATTTATTGACCTTAATTAAAAAATAAAAAAAGATGAGAAAATAAATTCCTTAAAACAATGAAAAGAAAGTAATAAAATAAATAAACAGTAAACAGCACTATAGTAGTAGCATGATTATAGAAATGAAACTTTCAGTCTAGTATCCCAGATTCAAAAATCAACTTTATTACAAACCACAATATCTAACCTGTCAGCAGTTCCTGTTATAGTTTCAATATTACTTTCTTCAGTAGTTGCATTTCGTGGAACCTCTTCAGATGGAGAACAGTCATCGTCACGATCACTTTCACTCTCACTAGTATCACTAGCCCATTCTTCATCTTTGATAAAAATATCAGGCTCACATTTTATTCGAGACGCATTATTATTATCAACTTCATTAGCAATATTGGCTGACGAACTTTCGTTAACACCTGTCTCTGAACGGACATTTTGAACTAGATTTTCACTGAGAATTACATTCACATTTGAATGTAACTCAGTTGGCAAAGCATCTGTTACTACACCAAGAACAGTATCTGTGAGGACTTCTGTGACATTTGTTTGCAGCGTGCATGGAGTATCCTGCACTGCTGGATGCATTACCTCTTGAGAATTCACATTATTTTCCACATTCACAGTCTGAGGCAGCTGCACATTTTCCGATAAACCTCCTGCCAGACTGCATGTACTGTGTAAAACCTGGTTCACATGTTAAAGTTAGTACAAATATATGGAAGAAATATATGTTTAATAACAACAAAATTAATTCAATTGTTTCATAAAAATTTTTACTCCTTACCTCACCAGATTTCAGTATTTCTTCTAAATAACTTTCAGTCTTTACACTTTTTTCCCTAAACTCGAATAACAAATCCAGTTTATACACACATTCCTCACATATCATTTTGGGAAGCCTATCCGTGCTTGTTACCTGCAATATAAAAGTCAAACATCGATTGTATATTATAATACAATAACGTCGGTAAACACCAACCTCCAAAACCTGAGTTTCGCAAATAAAATCTACCTGCACAGGTAAACATTCACGAATCTTCTTAAATATTTGTCGTGTATCTCCTTCGCTGTCAAAGATGTGCAGACCTAACAGGACGCTAGTTTTAGCGGCACATAATCTACATAGATCGTTGAAGTCCGAAGTACAGATTATCGGGCATGCCATAGCAGCTGTCATAATGAGAGCTATTAACGGGTAGCCGGTCAGTAAATGCGAAGTATTTTTTATTGAGTGACTTTACTTCAATTGAAAAACATTTTGCACGGTTCATGAATAAAAGGCTGCCAATATACCCGTCAATACTACAGCATCTCCACCGATTTTCAATTATCTACAGTCGAACCAGGCTCGAGCCAAAGCAGACATTTAGCATTCAGCACTTGCCCGTTGTTTGACCATTCTTTGTCCATTTCCCTTTCCCCCAGCATCCACCCCTCCGATTCCTGCCTGACTCAAACCAGAGCTGCGCTGCTGTGCCGAGAGGTGAATCCTCACTGATCCTCACTCCGTTGATCACTGCTACCAATCATACCAACGCTATCACTACCATTGCTAAAGCTGAAATTTCTAAAGCTATTAGGCCATTTAGTATTTTACAGGTGTTTACGATGTAATAGACCCTCTCATCAAGAAAAATAATAGGGTCTAATCCCATATCGTTCCGTCAGTTCACGAAATGACTCCCTGAGCCGCGATGTCTATGAATGAAAGCGAAGAACGAGAAGCGGGAACGAAGGCATTCTGTTTCGAAATTCAAATGTGCGTGATTGATTGACCACACAACTAAAATCCAAAAATTTTCATTTCTAGCCACTTAAGAACCATTTTTTAAATATGTTGAGGGAATGCCTAATGCCTTACGGGATTTTTTCTATTCGAAAAGCAAAAACATTAATGCCAAATAACAGGTGAAATATAAGGAATTACGCAAAGATACTAAGTAAAATGAGTCATCGAGAAAGCAATGTTTCAGAAAATGAAAATATTATAATGATTAAATTAATTTTGAACAATTTTTTTTCGAAAACAAAGCATATTAATAACATGGGTCGTTGTTGGTACAAGACAAGAGAGGCTAGATGAATGGTTGCGGGGGCAACAATCAAACAAGTGAACTAGTTATCACAGCTCGTATGTAGCAGTATGTAGAAACGAACACTTTAAGACAGAACTACGTTGGATTTTGTATCCAGAATTTCAAAAACACATTCTCAAATTCTCTTCTAGTGAATACATACGTTTTATGGCTCGTTCTGAGTAATATCTTAAAATGATGGGTGAGAAAACAAATATGATTAATGTTTTCTCATTACAGGATTCATAATTTGATTACACAAATAAAACAGTAAACAAATAATCAAAATTTTAATAATATAAAAAAATATGCACAATAGAAAAAGATTATACCAATTGTTGATAAATGGTTACATGCTAAATAAATGAACAGGTTATAAAAAATAATTTAAAAAAAAAGAAAGAAAGAAAAATACAATTTCACTACATAGTAATGATAAAGATCTAAAACTCCTCCATAATTAAATTTATTGATATTTGGTGGCATATCAACACCTCACTATCATAAATCGTAGGCTTTAAAACTAAGCCACTATACCAAAAAATCATCTGAATGTTTCCATCAGTATAATATGTTAAAAAGATTCAATATAAATATTTTGATTTAATGGAATTTATTTGAAATAATTTTGATTATAGGATTCATAATTTGACTACAGAAATAAAACAGTTGACAGGTAACCAAAATGTTAATATTATAAAAATACAAACACACAAAAGAAATATGATAATTGTTGATTAATAGTTACATAATACAGTTTTTCTATTCCCATTGTGTAATTCTGTCATTTGATGGCTGCAATCAGTTCCATAATGATACACATTATGATACAGGTTCTCGATCAATCACAGAGAAGTTTACAAACGAAGTATTGGCAATTAATCATTGAGAATCCTCTAATAAATGTTTCATTCGAGTGTGTACGCATTAAACACATTAAATGCATAACATAAACGCATAACATTAAAATCGCATTTAATGTTATAATAAGCTTGTCAGTTTTAATTTCTTGTATAACCAGCAATTTTTTTCGTGAAATATTATTTAAAAGAAATTGGATCATAATTTCACTTTGATCCCATTTGACTAGCGCAGTACTCCCTTGCAAGCGGACTGATAACCAAAGCCACCTGCAGCAAAATAAGGTGGGGTTAGGAAGCTGTCTGCTAGGTGGCCTTGGTTGAATCCTGCATATCAACTGCCATGAAACGATTCAATGGAAAAGTTTAACTAATAAAAGTTATCATTAGTCATAGTAAAAGTACAGTATGAAACTCGATGTAAAGGGTATAAATATACTCATGTGAAGTTTATGATACTCTTATCATAATATCACACTCATGTACTAATACTCATCATTTTATAATGTACTATTTAAAACTCTTCCATGGTTAAATATACTGATATTTCTAGGTGTATCTCCACCTCAATAACACTGGTCACTGGCTTTAAATCTATACTATTTTGACAAATTCTCTGGACATTTCCAGCCATAAAACATGTTAATTTAAAAATAAATGTACAAATGTACATACCCTACAATCAAAACCCTACAATCAAAATTTTAATATTATAAAAATATATGTACAAAATATATGAATATATATGTACAAAAAGAAAGATTATATGAAGTGTTGAATAACAGTTACCTTTTAAATGCATGAAGAATAGATAATAAAAAACAAAAATTACATTTTCGCTGTAATACAATAATGATAATAAGGTTTTAAAACCCCTCCATGGTTAAATTTATTGATATTTCTTGGCGTATCACCACCTCATTATCATACATCATAGGCTTTAAAACTAAGCTACATATCCTCTAGGCGTTTCCAGCAGAATAACATGTTAAAAGATTTAAAACAAATATTTTGAATTAAAATTAAACCAAGGAAAAAAATATTAATTTTCCCACTAAAAATCAATTTTACATGCTGAATAGACTCTTGAGATCTTGCAATGTTAATTTGTTAGCATTTCTTTGCATAGTGCCACTTAGGACACTTGTTGCTAATGATTGTTTTTTGTCCTGTAGAACTTTAATTCTTTCTTCAATGGTTTCCTGGCATATAAATTTATAAATGTACACTGGTTTCTTCTGCCCTACTCTGTATATTCTGTCAAATGCCTGTGATTCCAGTTGTGGATTCCAATGCAAATCAATTAGAAAGAGATGATTTGCTCCAGTAAGATTTAATCCTACACCTCCTGCCGTGAGTGAAAGGAGTAGTACCTGATTACCACTTTCAGTGTTAAATTTTTTAACAACCTCCATTCGATCTTTCACAGGTACAGAACCACTTAAGATATCACATTTTACTCCAATGTCAACCAGATGGGTATAAATTATATTCAGCACTGACGTCCACTGGGAAACAATAATTCCCTTATCAGATGTATTAATAACTTTCTCTCTAAGTACTTTAAAAACAGCCTTCATTTTAGAACTCATCCTTGTAAGGTCAAAAACGGGGCTGTTCACTTTTAAAACTTCTTCCAAATCTCTTCCCAATTTCAAAGATTCTTCCAAATCTTTGTCATTTCTGGGAGAACGATCTTCTAAGGACATTGCCCCCATTTTTGAGAGAATATCACCATCTACCTCATTCGCATCATCTATAGACTGCTTTGCCTCTTCATCAAGCATTGCCTTTATCAGCCCAGGGTGCACACAGATCTGTCTAAGCCTCAACAATAGTACCAGAATGTGATGTGTCTTGATATCATGCATCTGCTTCATTTTGTTGAACATACTTGCCAACTCTGGATTGCTTGCAATCATTTCTTTAGTGTCCAATGATTGAGGTTGGGAAAATGTAGGCATTCCTAACATCTCCTTTTCTGCTCTTTGTTGTAGAAACTGAACAAACAGAGTCTTGGAAAACCGAAGTACTTTGGTGTAAACATCAAACTCATCCTTCTCTAACTGTAAAAATATTTCCTGCAGATTTTTTTTGGGGAGGCTTACTAATTCTCCTTTATCTTGTAACAATGCCTTTGTACGGCGTAGCATAATTGCATTAATAACAGTGTTTAATCTTTTAATGCCAGCACTACTTTTATTGTCTACCCAATGACGCCACACATTGTAATCATCAAACGGAGAGCACCGAAGGAATTTCAATAGTGCATATAAATCTAGTTCTTTATTATGGATTGGTGTTCCAGTAAGAGCCCATCTCTTATGGCCCATAAGAAGACACACAGCAAGTGACTGTTGACTTTTGTGATTTCGTACTACATGTGCTTCATCTAAAATAATTCTCCTCCACTGTACCCTGTGTAGAACACCTCTCTTTGTTCTTTCAGTTTCTTCCTTCCCTCCTTTATTGGCACTTGTTCTCACAATGCTGTATGTGGTTATAACAATATCATTTTGTGCTAATAATCTTGCATTTTCCTCCCTTTGTAAACCATGATGAATTTCCACCTCCAAAACACCTCTCTTACAGTGTTTCGTTATTTCATCTTCCCACTGCAGGAGCAAGCTGGCAGGGCAAACAACCAGGGTACCTCCCAAAGGATACCCATCACTCTCCTTCTCAAATGCATCCTCATCTTTTCTTTTTTCACATCTTTCATCCTCTGCCTCTTTTTCTTTAGTTTTTAGCACCAGGGATATCATTGTGAGTGACTTCCCCAGTCCCATGTCGTCTGCTAATACACCAGCAGGTGGTCTCTGGGTTTCCCGCCATAGAAGCCATGCCAAAGCGTGGCGTTGATGAATCATTAATTTCACAGAGGATCTCAAGCCCAATGGAGCATCTGCCAGAACATTTTCTGTTGGACATGTACTAATGGACCCGTGTAAATCAGAGAGTGCTTCTTCAGTTAAGGTTTTTTCTCTAATTTGAGTCTGCAAAGCTTTGACTCCAAAGCCAACTGGCAAACGGCTAGTTGGTTTGACAGTGTTTTCTGGTATCCTTTCACCAGTGGAATACATTGGCAATATTTTTAATTCTCTCTCTTTCAGTTTTAGCAAGTATAAGCTCTCTTGTAACTTCATTAGTAGTTTCATTCCATTATCTGGTAACTGGTCAATATCAATACACTTTAAAATTTTTTTCAACTTAGAAATATCTCTTGTCAATACTTCAATTTCATTCTTCAGTTGAATAAAAGACTGAGTAACCTGTAGTTTCTGTACAGATATAAACGATCTTACATCAGAAATGTTTGATTTAACCAATCTATTTTCCGATTTTAAACCCTGAATCTCTGGTTGTTCATTTATTTTATTGTTACCAGAATTTTGACCATCATCCTCTGCTATTTCCACATATTCAATTTTATTTTCATTGGAGCTAAAACGAGCCACTATGCCATCATGCTCTTGAACCAGAATTTTATTTTTTTGAAGTCCATTACCTTCAGTACTATAGTTTTTTACACTATCATAACTATTTTTCAGCATCCTCTCATTGTCACCTGAACTACAATGCCCCACAGTACCATCATGCCTTTGTAAAAGAATTTTCTTATTTTTGTATTTACCATTTTCACATTCTTGGGAAACCTGAAAATTCTCCTCACTACCATTCCCATTTTTCACAGTCTCAATTTCATCTCCACTGTTATCTGAACTAAAATGTGCCACAGTACCGTCATGACTTTGAACAAGAATTTTCTTATTTTTGTATTTACCATTTCCACTTTCGTGAGAACCCTGTAAATTTTTCTCACTACCATCCCCATTTTTCACAGTAGTCCCAATTTTATATTCACTGTCATTTGTACTAAAATGGGCTACAGAGCCATTGTGCTTTTGCACTAGAAGATCTTTCATACTGCATCCATAATCTTTACCGTGAAAATCCTGCAAATATTTCTTATCATTGCCACTCTTAGCAATATCCTTTTTCTCACTTTCACTGTCACCAAAACTCAAGGCTGTTACAGACTTCTCACGCATTTCATCATCACAAGCACTGACAATATTGGGATTTTTAAATGTTTCTTTGGCATTACATAAAGATTTCCGATAGGCATCTGAAACTGCTTCACCATCAATAGTCAATAATTTAGCAAGACTAATTCTTGTTGATTTATGAGATTTTACTGGTGACATTGGTTCAGTTTCATTATCAGACTGGAATACGTCCTGATCGGACATGGAATTTGTTGACAATGAACTTCTCTGTTCAGCAATATCCGAAATTCTTTTTTCTCTGTTACCAACACACATTTCTTTTAAATTTGGCAATACATGGCCTGCTCTTAAGGTAGAATGGAAGGGATTATTTTCTGGTTCTTCTTTACAATCAGAGTCAGAATCAAGAATGACATTCTTCTTATAAGGATTACAGTTTTGAACATGATCATTGTCTATGAAAACTATTGAACCACTACTATTTCTGCGATTGTCCTTGGTTGTTCGATAATCAGCATATCTTGATGCCATCTCCAAAAACCTGTAAGGCAAAAAATACACACAAAGTAATCGAGATATTTCAATTGTGAAACAACATAAGTAGAGCTGAATCCCTCTTTAAAAGTGTTCCAATCGTTTTCAATTTATCTCCAATTATTTTACTACATTCTCTTCTATAAATTGCATAGATCACAGTAACAAAAATTGCTTTCCCCGGCTAGTGATACTAACATTATTTGAAAGCCTTAGTGGTCCTATTGGAAGGTTGTTTGCTTCCCTACTGAATAATAGGGCAATGAACTTAACAAAATTAACCTACCATTTCAATTTTGCCATTGCTAACATAAGAAATCATCCAACAGATGCAAATAAATAAACCTTGACCTAACATAGCTAACTTTGTAAACATGCAACATCCACAAACCTGCTTGTAGAATTCCCTATGCAAACATGCGCTTCTTTAGAACCCATAACATTGAAATTCATGGCATCGAATTAAATATTATCTTTTCATACAGAATACATGAATTCTCCTATGAATTGCATACAACTGGTTCTCCAATTTTTCATTTCAAATCCTTAATAGCTTAAAATCCAATAACCTGTTTATCAGGGTACCTGCATCTATTTCCTTGCAATTACATTGATTTCTTCATCTAAGCTAGCAGCTGGAAGGAGAGGATCATAATGACTATCACATACATCTCCCATTTGAGTCGAGGTTTAATCCCCTGCCAATCCATTTGTGGTGGACATATGCAGGGTTACTTAAGACTTGCCCGTTTCCCTTTCTCTCATTCCACCAATATCTCCAATCAACTTCCATCATACCATTAGTTTAAAAATTCGTTCACATGCAAGCCTCAATGACCTTCAGGGTTGAAGGGGTGTAGGAGCTTTCAATGTTAAAGGGCTCTTACACCCCAATAAATAAATTACAGAGTTTAACCAAGTAAAACAGTAAAAAGTGCCCAGTGAAATGAAGGAAAGTGTTATGAATAATTCTGAACCAAAATAAGGATTTTCCAACTGGTTTCAAAAACCCTACTCATCCTCCCTTAAATTTTCATTGTACAATGCTTCGTGTTTTGAAATAAAAATTATCTGAGTTTTAAAAATAATTACTTAATACCATTTTTTACATCTAAATTTAATTTTTTTTGAAAATGGTAGAAAAGATAACCCTAGTATGATGCACGGTGGGGAGAAGTGTATTCGGTGCAAGTTTTCTAAACATTTGGGATCTCTACTTGACTAACCCATATTACAAGTCAAATTATAAATACAGGTGGAAGCAAGAATTTTGAAGAAAATGTTCACTTCTGTTTAATAAAAGTATTTGCAAAGGCAAATCAGCCTCACATTTGGCTATTATCCCTCAGTTTTCATAAAGGAATCAACTTACTACTGCAAGAACATGGAAAATAATAATTTGAATAACTATGTTCCCCACTGAACTCTGGAAAATATACACAGATAGTGAATTTACATTAATGTCCAGAAGCAAAACAAGGGGCATACTCTAAGATAGCATTCACTCTAAGGTTCACAGAAAATTGAACGATAAACCTGACCTAGATGAGGTCATTGATACAGAAGCTGATGACCCCAAAATGTTGGTACCGTAACTTGTAACAAATTGTTCAATTCCAATGAAGTATGCAATTGCTTCTTTCAAATGGAAAACCTCATTAAAACCATTTTCCATCAGTTTACTTTTAATTTGTTAATACAAAACCAATTTGAAACATCTTGACATATCACCATTTACTGTTTCTGATATTCACAAGAAAGTTATCTTCTGTTTCAAATTGTCAAGGGCAAGGTGTGGAAAAATTGTGTTTAAGTGTTTGTATTAGTTTATGGTGTGTATTTTTATACATGAAAAGAACAAACAATAATAACTAATTAATTATGAGGTTTGATTACAAACCTTTATAGTAGTATGTTAAGTCATATAGTTTCCATTCCTTTTAAAATTCAACATTCTATTGAGAAGTAATGCAAAGAAGACCATTAGGAAAACAAGGGTTCTGTTACTTTAAAAACAGTAGTTCATAAGTAAGTTACTACCCAAAAAAGAAATTTTGATTTCCACTTCCATCATAAGCTGTCATTCTGGGATCAAGATGGTGGGTGCACTTTACTCCTTGTGGTATTTTCAACATGCCTAATGGTTAGCTCTTTGTTTGTAAGACTTTAGTAACTTTCCACAAAACAGCCTGCAATATTGACAATCAGTAAATTTTACTCCCAACTAACACAAACTATGAGTAAAATTTACTCAGTGTCTCAGAAAATCATTACTGAAACTGAACAAGTGGCTTTCAAGCAAGTTTCTCTTGAAGAATATAAGAACCTGTCATTATACAATGTTGCCTGCAGCAGAGTTCTTTACGGTCAGGGGTTTGGGAGTACATGACAACCTTATTTCTGTTTTCCCTTTGAACATATATCACCTGTGAATTCTTAAACAAGGCCTACACTAGTTATGGACAATCATGTCTAGAGTATGCTCACACCAAATGGTTGCGATTTTTTCAAGGATATTCAGTTCAGAAAATTATATTACTAATCTTAAGCCATACAACATACAAGGAAAGACTCCTGTGACTTGATCCCCCATTATTATGTGACAGAATACACATGATTTCATAAACCACACAAATTTTCTACTGGACTCTCTCGCTCAAACAAAAAGCAAAATATATCTATGCTTAAAAGAAAACTAGGCACTTTGACCTCCAGTTGACAGCATGACCTGACATGCAAACCGAGGCAAAGTAGAGAATTGAATACACGGAGGTATGCTCTAGTGAAATCTGACAATTTTAGACCTATGGCTGCTACTTAATCCAGAAATTCCGCAGATGTACAACAGCTCGCTTCCATTTATTTCTCAATGTGTTTTTGAACTGCGATATTAAATCTTATACTACAAATTAAGATATATCATAATTGTACACCAATAAAATATTGGGACGTTCGCCTCTGAATAGGTTCATGCTCAATCAAATTGGTTATCTTATTCAAAGTTTATTCTAACAGCTGCAACAATTCCAGGAACTTCCTAAAATTAAAAACATTAGTTTCTAATGTGGTATTACATTACAGTACATCAAACGTATTGTAAAATATGATCCACAGAAAAATAATGAGAAGGGGAAGTTATTACAATGTAAAAATTTTTTTTTCCATTGCCATAAGCGATTGATTTCATTTCACTTAACAGAGTAGTTATCAAAAGTTACCATTGGTTCACTTGCAGCCTCTCACAAATTGTTTCAAAAAGGTAGAATATTTTCATTCAACAATAATAAATAAACACATAGTGAAAGTGCCACGTTAACACAAGGGGCCACAGAGCGTGGGCCTGATAGTATACAAAAATTATTTAATACTAATCTTTTCAAAAAATAAAAGGGAAAAGCCATATAAAAAAGTTGTGTATGATTAAACTATGTCCAAACAATTGCATAACAGAGTGAGTGATGTGTCACGCATCATTAGATAATATTTATAATATGAAATGTTGATTAATGCAAGAATGTCATTAAGTGATGAGAAATTCAATATTTATCTTAACAAAACTTCATTTAATTTGTAGAATTTTTTAATGTAATTATAAATCTGTTTTTCTACAGACAGTGCTTGATTTATAAAATTTTGGGTCCTGGAATGCTCCCTAAATTAATTGTTAATTTAATAGAAATAGTTGTATATTTATAATATAATTTAATAATGATTCCCGAGGTACAGGAACGCTGTTCCTTCGCGTTCCCCTGGAAATCAAGTCCTGTTTATACACATGTTTAAATTGAAACATTAAGAAATACTTTTAAAATATTTTTAAAAAATACAAAATACTCTGTAAATTTATACGATTTTCTTTATATTTCAGCATCGAAATTGTGAGGGGGGAGATCGGTGAAAGTTAAAGTAGAGGCCCCCAAATTAACCTAGGCCCAATGCTGTCAAAACGGCCCTGCATAAGGACAGTAATAAAATAATTTTTTAAAAAAAATTTAAAAAATTTAAAAAATACCTTGACAATACCTATGGATTGGATGGAGGGACAGATCACAGAGCACCCACTCAGTTTGTCTATATAGGACAGATCCTGGGACAGATCACTGTGGCAATGGGTGATACGCGGCCACATGGGGGCTCCTACAATCCGCCAAAATCATCTCGTTTTGAATAACAAAGTTACCAATGCTTCGCAAATAAAAGTTAGGGTTCGGGCCGCCACTCCGTGTGGAGAAATTATAATAATACAGGAAAGCACACGTGTGTATAGTTCTATCCTCTAGAGAGAATGAGGAGAAAGTCAAATATTAGGGTACGTGTATGTTGGAGCAGCGATTAGAGCGAAGCAACGAGAGCGTCCCCATGGAATCAAATGGAAGTGTTCATGTTGGCAGCGCGCTGATCACGGGATCAGCGCTGTGACCCGCGATAAAAGCGAAGAAAACCCAGGGTGCATTATATGCCTGGCAGCGATAAACGAGAGCGAAGAGGGATTGTATTGCGAAATCGCAGCGCTGAAGTGTTCTCTTCCATACCAACCTTATGTAAATCACCCGCGATACTTACTTAATTGGCTTAGGGACTTTTGGTTACGATTTAAGTTGAACCGCAGTGGGAGTCAACCTCAACTTCATTCCCCCACGCAATGGAAGCATTACATCCTACAAGGTCGATAGTTCTTTTTTTCGCTGGATATTGGCTTGCTTGATAAAGAGAGATATGTCAACCTCAGTGGGGTTACCTCCTCACTCAATTCCTCCTGCAACATCGGCAAACAGCTGTGTGGGGCCTGCGAAAGAGTCGGTGCTAGTGTGTACTTATTTCGAAGTTTTTATTCTGCGAGCGAATCCAATTGTGGTTTGCTTTGGAAATGTATTGTTATTTTATATTTTGCTTGGCATTTTCATCGATGGGTCGTGATTTGACGAAAAGCTCTTGAATGGATGTGCTAAGGAGGGGAATTGTAGGAAGTGGGATAAGTAAAAAATATTCACGAAGAGAAGAGAGAATTGTCCACTATGATATACTCTCTTTCGCAGACTCCAAACAGTTGTTTGCCGCATGATGCAGGGGAATTGAGTGAGGTTGACATATCTCTCTTTATCAAGAAAGCCAATATACTAGGCCCAATGCTGTCAAAACGGCCCTGCATAAGGACAGTAATAAAATAATTTTAAAAAAATACCTTGACAATACCTATGGATCGGATGGTGGGACAGATCACAGAGCACCCACTCAGTTTTTCTATATAGGACAGATCCTGGGACAGATCACTGTGGCAATGGGTGATACGCAGCCACGTGGGGGCTCCTATAAATGTGACCCAATATCACTAATACCGACCTCGCAAAAACCCCAATAAAAATCACTGAACCTATTGATAGAATACAAGAAAGATTACTACAATAATCCAAGAATATAACAACTCCTACTAAGTTTACAGAAACGAGTCTAAACGTGATGGAAATGCAGTCTATGCTATATTCCAGTCATCGATTTAAAAAATTGATTCCTACGGCCTCCCGGATTACTTTTCCATTGCTACATGCAAAGCGTGGACAGTCCTTTACGCTATTATATTCAGCGTTACGACTCCAAAAGATACTTCCATTGCAATTTTTTCAGACTCACTATCAACTCTGAAAGCCATTGAGAACAGATTCACTTCCAATACAATTATCCAAAAAATCCAGGAAATTCAAGAAAAGCAAGC